TTCCTTCCTTACTTCCTTCCTTCCTTCCTTCCTTCCTTCCTTCCTTGTCATTTGGCCTGTATTCGAGACATCTCAGTGTAGCCGTTCATGTTTTTTCTTAGCACACCAGTTCAGTTTATTCATTGGGGGGCAGGGAGCGGTCCTTACCTCTTCATCCTCTGTCGACACCTCCTCCCATGCAAAACCAATAAGACCACGCAAAGCATTACTTTAACCTTCATGTCCCCCTCTCTCCAAATACACGATGATAAACGCTGGTTTTTGGCTGCAGGCCTACCTAGGCAGGCTTGCTTCCTGTATGTCACGTATGGGCCCGTGCAAGTCCATTTTTCTGCTCGCTGCAGACCCTCCTCTTCCGCGCCGTATTCCTGTGGCCTTTCTGTCTGTGAAATGGTTTGAAATCTCCTGCTGACCGGCCGAAGTCTGTTTTACTTCCTGGGGGCAGGGCAGACGCCATGTTCTATTTCCTGGTACGTACCTTCTCTTCAGCCCTTTTTTTCATTTAAACAAAAACCCAAATCTGTGATACACCTGCCTAGAGAGCTTTTGTTTAGCAAGATCGCCCTTGCATGTGCACATGCGTATCAGAGCTCGGCTAGCACTCATAGGGTTGCCAGCCTCCAGGTGGGCCCTGGAGATATCTCGGAATTATAACTCATCTCCAGATGACAGAGAACGGTTCCCCTGGAGAAAATGGCTGCTTTCGGAGGATGGATGGTATGGAAGTACACCCAGATGATGTCCCTCCTTTCTCCAAGCCCCACCTTCTTCAGGCTCTGCCCACAAATCTCCAGGACTTTCCCAACCAGGAGCTGGCAACCCTAAATGATAAGGGCCATGCCTAGGGCTGCCAAATCCCCCCGGGGGGCGGATTTCCCCCCGCTTTGGAGCCCCGATTTCCGCCCCCGCGGAATTGGGACCCGGGGAAAACCCCACCCCCGCATGCACGTCACCTCCCTGTGACGTCATCACGTTGGGGCAGGGCACAGCCATTTGAGGGGAATATGTTTTCCCCTCAAATGGCTGTGCCCCGCCCCAGTGTGATGACGTCACAGGGAAGTGACGTGCATGCGGCGCACGCGTGCGCACCAGGAGCTGGCACAAAGTCTCCCGCCGGCAGAGGTGAGTACATTTGGCAACCCTAGCCATGCCCAGTTTCCACAGATGCTACAGAGCTTCCCTCCCTCTGAATACATTTACTTGTTTCTTTTAACATCCATGCTGATGATCACAGTCATACCAGACCCCCTGTCTCGCAACAGGGCTGGAATGGATTGTGTAGTGATTTAATGCTTGATGGACTAAGATTTCTGATTCATTTAAACGCTTGCACCAGTGGACTTTGATATTCCTTTTTGTTCCATTCTGGTCTTCCTCGAAGCTGCTTTGAGTTGATTAGAAGTGGGGATTAATAATTAACGGCATAATTAGCAATTGAGATTTCTCCTCTTGTCTAAAGAGGGAGACCCCATGAACATTCCCGTTTCTTTTCCATCGTCATCACAGGAACCCCCTTCTCTTTTCTTCACAACTAACTTGCTTCTTTCACTCATCTCTCTTCTTCAGCGATGTGATGCTAGACTCCAGTAAGGGTAGGGTTGCCAGGGGATTTTGGGGGCATTCTGGGACATCCCCGATACAATGACATCACCAGGAAGTGACGTCATCATGTCTGGGACATTGCGCAGTGATGCTCTGGTTTTTGGGCAAAACTCTATGGTCAAACCGGCTTCAAGCCACAGAGTTCTGCCCTCAAACCAGTGTGACAAGATAATATATGCAAAGCACTTTGAGGGCTCTATGTTGTTATATAAATGCAGAGCATTGGATTCAAAGGATCTTTTTTAGACCCTGTTATCGCTATGGCCTATCCCGTCTGTTTTTGGTGCTTGGAAGGAAGGAAGGTTCTTATACAGAGCAAAGTGACTCTCAGTTATGGGCTTAGAGTAGTCACATTAGCGTCATCTATAAAATGGGCATAAAAGAGGTTGTGGGGCAACCAGAACAGTGTTGCCAGTTGAAACCTTGGCTTCTGTCAGAAAAGGGCATGTCAGAAAAGGGACCTTTCCAGGGCTTTTTTAACCTTTGAGGGAGAACTAGGGTTGCTGTACCCCCCTCCCAGTGTGGGCAAGGGCCCCCCAGTTTTAGGTACTCCTCTCCCCACCCCAAATCACCCCTTCTTCCTGGCAGGAACTCAGAAATCATTGTGACTTGCCTATGAAAACCAGAAGTGGCATGGGCATGCCAGGGATGTCGGGGGGACGCCCTGGTTTTTGGGTAAAACTCAGTGATTTGAAGTGAATTTTACCATAGAGTTTTGCCCTGAAACCAGAGTGTTGCCCCCATGTCCCTGACTTCCTGTTTACGTAGGCATGTCGCAATGCTCCTCCCCACTCCTAGGAAGTCCCTCCTCCTCTAGGGTTGCCAAGTTGAAAATACCTGAAACCGGGTGGAGTCCAGTCCCTTGCCGGGCATGTTGGGGGCGGGGCCACAATCTTTCTAGGGAAACCCATAGAGTTTTCCCTCAGATGATAGAGCGTCCCCTGGTAACATGCTCGATGTGATGACTTCACCTCCAGGTGGCGTCTTCACACCGCACACGTCACACACTTTACGGGTGGGGTTCTCCCCGGTGGTCCAATCCAGGCCGTCAGGGAATGGGCCTCTCGAGCGGGGGTTTCCCCGCCCCCCGGGGGGACCTGGCAACCCTATCCTCCTCCCCCGCCGGTCCAATGATTGGACCTTGCAACCCTAGGGAGAACTCATCCAGATTAGGCCCGGCAGCACTGTATGACTTGAAACTATGGGAATTCAGTGGCTCAGCCAGACCCAGCCGCCTGCTACTGTTCAACAGCAGCTCCCACATGAAAGACAGTTTCAGACTAAGATCTGGGAGATGCAGGTTCAGATCCTTATTCTGCCATGGAAGCTCACTGGGTGACCTTGGCCAGTCACACACACTTAGCCAAAAGTAACTCACAGGGAACAGAATTATGTAAGATGCTTTGGGTCCCCATTGTGGAGAAAGGTGAAATAAATAATAAATCTAGCTGATGATGGGAGGGCATATAAAATGTGGGGGGAAAGGAGAGACGGAAGCAGGGAAAGGTGAGGACATGGGGATAGCCAGGAGTGGGGAATGAGATGTCCCCTACAAATCCTTGCAGGTTCCTAGGTTTGCCAAATGGTACTCACCTCTCCGGCGGGGGACTCCTGCGCTGCTCTTGGAGCGCGCGCCACATACACGTCACAGGGAAGTGACGTCATAACGCCGGGCACGCTGGGGGCGGGGCCACGACCATACAAGGGAAAACCCCTGGGGCCTGATTCCCCGGCGTCTGGGAACGGGCCTCTGGGGCGGGGGGATTTCCGCCCCCCGGGGGGATTTGGCAGCCCTACAGGTTCCCCACCGTGCAACTGGGCCTGGCCCAGCATCTGACCCCATGCAACTTGACCAGACTTTTCCTGAGAAGTTGCCAGGGATAGCGAAGGAGAGCAAGCTGAATATAGGAGGACAGAAAAAAGCAGGCTGGCTGGCAGGTGGAAAAGGCAGGAAAAGGGGAGAGAATAGGGGACCCTTCTGGGAAGGGAAAGTAAGAGGATATAGCTCAGGAAGGAAAAAATGTGATACCTCACTGCAAGTCCTTGCAGGTCCCCCGCTTGTATTAAATTAACTTCATGCTAGTGATGAATGACTCTTTTAAATCTGTAAAACCGATAGACTGACCAGTGACCCCCTTTTGTTTGGGTTTTTAGGTTAAAAATGGCTTTAAGAAGTAATGGCTTATAAATACCCATGGGACTTCCTCACAGGAACAGCCTGAAGATTTGGCTGGCAAGAAGTTTGTACAATCTCCCTGTTTGATTGAGCCATTCTAGATTTAGGATCATGTTTAAAATTTCAATACTATTTTAATACATGATTTTTTAAAATCTGCCCCAAGCTTTTGCCATGCCTCACCCTGTGTGAATCTGAATAAATAAATCTGATTTTTAAAAGGCTAGAGGTACTGATATGTGAAATTGCCCTAAATAAATATATCTGAAGCAGTTTGTACAGCTCAAATGCTACCAAATGGATGAGGATAATCCAGGATATCAGAGTCTAATAAAGTCACAGCCTTGCTCCGCTTCTTTGGAGAGAAATTAAGGGGTGTGTGTGTGTGGGGAGGACATCTTGTCATCTGGATGATGCCACAGTCTTGTGACAGGTGCTGCCTCTTTTTAGGCATTTGTCAGAAGCAAAATACTGTTCCTGCCCAAACCTGCAAATGAGCTGATCAGTCTCAAATCCCCTTCTCTCACAATAATTTGCTCTAAACGAAATTTACTAGCCTACATTAATGACGACTTGCTCCAAATTGCCTGTTTAACATGCCCAGTCACTGAGAATTGTGAAAGGGGTGGGGGGAGGTAGAGATGGATCAGTGTAGTCAGGCAGTGCCTCTGTTTAGGGGTGTGGCCCATCGCTAGCATCTCTGAGGGGAAGCAAAATGTCTTCCCTGCCCACATTAGTAAGAACTGGATGTACAGAAGGACAACTGAGAAGGTTGCCATGTGAGCCTAAGATGGCTGGACATTTGGAGCAATCAGATTTTACCTCATGCAGATTGTGGTGATGATGGTCATTCATAGCATGGCAGCTGGGTTCAATGGAACCCCATCACTCTATGGATGCGTTCAGACGGGGCGTTTCAGCCGGCATAAACTGTACCGGTTGGAACCGGTGCAGTTTATGCCAGCTGAAACGCGATCACACTTACCTCCTGTCTGCGGAGCCCATCGCTGTATGCCCGTTCACACACAGCGGGCGTCGGCGGGGTTTTTTTTAACACAGTTTGCGCATGCGCATAGGCAGCCATCCACAGAATGGCGATCTTCACGCATGTGCAAAACACCCCGTCTTACATTTAAAGTTTAAAGGTAAGGACTTACCTTTAAAGTTTAAAGAGCAAAGTGGCCTCCCTGAGGTCCTGGACTCCTCTAAAAGTTAAACTTGGGACCTTCTGTTTTCTTTTTTAAACAAACGCCGGGGCGAAGCTTTGCCAAAGCGCATATCGCCAACCCCCCCAAAAAATGGCGGGCGAAAATCGGAAGCCTCGGGCTTCCAAACAGAAGTGGCTTTACAACGTTGGAGAGCGATCAGACGGGGGGTGAAGCAATTACAACCGTTGCCCTCAGGATACCACCACTTGGGGACCTAGTGGCAGAATACAACGGTGTAAAGCTCTTTGCAATGGTTAGGGACGGAAGGCAGATGTTCACCATGTGAATGCCGGTAAGTACACCGATTCCAACCGGCACCTATACCGTTGCAAATACCCCGTCTGAACGCACCCTATATCTTACTACTGTGGTATGAAAAGAAAGAAAAAACAGAATTTCTGGAAAATATTACC